GGCCTTCCTGTTGTGTTATACTGCGACAATTGCTATGGTCAAAACAAAAACAAATTTATAACATCGTTACTTCTTTATACAGTAAGCAAACTCGACAATTCCTTCTATCACTTTGAAGTTTTTGGTTGTCGGCCATACGCAAAATGAAGGGGACAAAATGCACTCCCTGATTGAAAAACAGAAGAAACGTGTGCTAAGATCTGGTCTTATTTACACTTCTTCACAGTTGATTCCTGTAATTTCTAATGCAAAAAAAACTGGTACTCCATATAAAATTACAGAAACTTTACAGATTTTTTTGATATGAAACATCTGCAGGAGAAAATGGGAACGAATTTTATTTTAAATTCCGATGGAGAAAAAGTTTTGTCGTCCGATATTGTAACATTAAAAGTATTTAAAGATGAACTGTCGAAAGAAAATGTAAAAAGTATTTTTGAAGTGTGTATATTTTAGGCAATTCCTAGCTGAGCGCTTTCGGCTTTACAAAGCCATCATCAGAGCTATGCTACAATAAAATGTTCTTATAAGTACTAATTGGTAAAGATTCTAATTTTAACTTACGTCAATTTTTTAAAATACCACTACAAAGGAGAGATCTCATTTCCTTATATTTCCAAATTATGATTTTGTTGCAATTCTTAGAACATATAAAAAAACATATAAAAAACCGACACTGGACTTCACAAACACGTTAAAAAAATTGAAAAAAATTTGTTGTCATGGTGCGGGTGTAAGAACCCGACCATTGTTTGATCTGAGGAGGTAGGCAGAATAGAACTAATGAAATCAAATGTCGGTCCTTTTAAACGATTTTTCAAAAGTGACAGTTGACAAATGTCATATATAGGAAATAGAGATTGTTTTTTAAATTCTTACAAAATTATTTAATGTTTGGTATTACTAATAGTCATCAAAGACTTTCTAAAAATTAAGTGTTTAAATTAAATTTTATGTGTTCATCACATCATACAGAATGACATTAGTTTTTAAATTCACTCAAGTCATTGCTCAAGGTCAATGTATGTTCAATCTGACAGCCATCCTTAAGAAACAAGGGCTCAAATTGTTCAACAACAATATAAAGAAAAAACATGGTATTAATGTTATGTTATCTGATACTTAAGTGTATTGAGAATTGTATCTCTTGATAGAAATTTTTAAGAAATTTGCATAAGAAATTTTTTAAGAATGTATTTTTATGTTTCAATTAAGAATAACTGTCAAATGAATTACAAAATGTTGTAAATTTCTAATAAAGTTTAAAATTTGTTTAAAAATATAAAAGTATGAAAAAATATATAATAAGATTGCATGAGGTCACCCTTCTTCCTCTAAAGTCTCCCATAATAATTTAAAAAGAGGTTTATAATTGCAATTGAGGTTGATTTGTGTGTTTAAGCAACAATCAGGGTTTTGTTAGTTCCAAGTTCCAACCTCAAAACTTTCATTTCTAGCAATCCTTTAATACCAAGACTTTATGGTCTCCCTAAAATTCATAAAGCTAATGTTCCAATAAGACCTGTAGTTAGTTTTGTCAATACCCCACTAGCTTCACTAGCAAAATTTATCAACACTCTTCTACTAGATCTACTTAATTACACTCCCAAATATACTATTGCCAACACTTTAGATTTAATCTCCAAAATTTCTTCACATACTCTTCCGAATAATTTCACTATGGTCTCTTTCGATGTAACAAATCTGTTCACCAATGTTCCCAGATTAGACACCATTCCAATCATCAATAACCTTCTACAAAGAAAAACCATTGACCAAAATAAATGTTCACAAATCACTTCTCTACTCCAATTTTGCCTTTCCCAAGATTTCTTTATCTTTAACGATAAAATTTATAGACAACCAGAGGGTTTAGCAATGGAAAATCCTTTATCTCCTCTACTTGCAGATCTTTTTCTAGACTCTCTCGAAACTAACTTTGTTCATTCTCAACCACAAATAATCCTATGGTACAGATATGTAGATGACATTTTAGCCTTTATAGAAGGCCCACCTTCAGAACCTCACAATATTTTGTCAATAATTAATAATCTACATCCTGCAATTAATTTTACCTTAGAAGTAGAAAGCAACAACATTATCAACTTTTTAGACCTAACTATTAAAAAGAATGCTTCCTCCTCTTCTTCTTTGCCTACACTAGAATTTTCAATATTCAGAAAACCTACTCAAACTGACCATATGATACCAACATCCTCAAATCATCCTTTTCAACACAAGATGGCAGCTATTCAATGTTATGTCCACAGACTTCTTAACATCCCTATGTCTCAAGAAAATTACAATAAAGAAATTTCCATCATTAAACAGATAGCAAACAACAATGGTTTTCCTTCTACTACTGTTGATAAAGTCATTAGAAAATCTATACTCAAAAAGAGACTAAACCTAGCTTTTAATGTTGATAAAAAATCCAACACTACTTCCATATATAGATCCTTAACTTACCTAGGACCAATTTCAGAAAAAATTTCAAGAGTACTTGTTAATAAAATCAGTGACTTAAACATCTCATTTAAAACCAAATATAACATCAAGTCCATCTTCAGCAAGACCAAAGACAAAGTTGAAAAACTAAACAGAAGTGGTATTTACAAGCTGTCCTGTGGTGACTGTAATATGACTTATGTAGGTAGAACAATGAGAACTCTGAATCAAAGAATCAAAGAACACCTCAATAACCCAGAAAAATCAAACTTTGGATATCACATTAAATTTAATAATCATTCCTTTTCTCCTTCTGAAAACAGTAAAATTTTACACAACATTCCCAATAAAAACTTTAGACTCATGAATCTCTTGGAAGATCTTGAGATATCCAAAGAAATGAAACAAAACCCTGATTGTTGCTTAAACACACAAATCAACCTCAATTGCAATTATAAACCTCTTTTTAAATTATTATGGGAGACTTTAGAGGAAGAAGGGTGACCTCATGCAATCTTATTATATATTTTTTCATACTTTTATATTTTTAAACAAATTTTAAACTTTATTAGAAATTTACAACATTTTGTAATTCATTTGACAGTTATTCTTAATTGAAACATAAAAATACATTCTTAAAAAATTTCTTATGCAAATTTCTTAAAAATTTCTATCAAGAGATACAATTCTCAATACACTTAAGTATCAGATAACATAACATTAATACCATGTTTTTTCTTTATATTGTTGTTGAACAATTTGAGCCCTTGTTTCTTAAGGATGGCTGTCAGATTGAACATACATTGACCTTGAGCAATGACTTGAGTGAATTTAAAAACTAATGTCATTCTGTATGATGTGATGAACACATAAAATTTAATTTAAACACTTAATTTTTAGAAAGTCTTTGATGACTATTAGTAATACCAAACATTAAATAATTTTGTAAGAATTTAAAAAACAATCTCTATTTCCTATATATGACATTTGTCAACTGTCACTTTTGAAAAATCGTTTAAAAGGACCGACATTTGATTTCATTAGTTCTATTCTGCCTACCTCCTCAGATCAAACAATGGTCGGGTTCTTACACCCGCACCATGACAACAAATTTTTTTCAATTTTTTTAACGTGTTTGTGAAGTCCAGTGTCGGTTTTTTATATGTTTTTTTATATGTTCTAAGAATTGCAACAAAAATCATAATTTGGAAATATAAGGAAATGAGATCTCTCCTTTGTAGTGGTATTTTAAAAAATTGACGTAAGTTAAAATTAGAATCTTTACCAATTAGTACTTATAAGAACATTTTATTGTAGCATAGCTCTGATGATGGCTTTGTAAAGCCGAAAGCGCTCAGCTAGGAATTGCCTAAAATATACACACTTCAAAAATACTTTTTACATTTTCTTTCGACTTGTCATAAGTGTGTACAAAAAATATCAGTCTTTTAAAGATGAACTGTTTACCGTTTATTACAAAACTTTTTACAGTCATAGCAGCTTCAAAAAAATTTCAATTCGGAAAACAAACAGCAGAAATTCTATTTGCTTAACTCATGGTAATATTGAATTAAAACAGTTATATAACGCACCACTGAAACTTACCCAAAATAAATTAGATGCGTTGAGCTTTTAAGGCAACAAAAATCATATAATTTTAAAATACCTTGACTTTTATCGATCTTTAGGATGCAAAATAGACCTTCCTCTCAGTTTGTACAAAAACAACATGCAACAGTCGTCAAAGAAAGGCGTCAAAAACCAGTAGTTACTTTAAAATTAATGTTAAAAATCTAAATAGGTAGATGTTTCTAACGATTATTTTGTAACAGGTAATAAGCAGATTTATTTTAAGTTGTTCTCATGTAATTACGTTAGTGTGGTACTTTTTAAATAAAAAGTATATTAAAATGTCTTAACAATTATTGTAACCTATCACAATTTTCACGTTGAACCGAAATTTCTGTGCAATTTCTAACTACTATGATCAGCAACAGTGACACAATGGTATAATCTATCTTTGGGCTTTCAGCAACACAGACACATTTGTTAATAATTAATAATGTTAGTTTCAAATTTCTACAATACAGAATACTAATTGTTAAAACAACCTAAATTAATCTTATTAAAGTAAAAATACCAACATTATCATTCATTTTATAGAAATAATCGAATGTTAGATAGTAAGGGTAATCTTCATACCCCATTTTTTCAAAATGGTTATTTTTGATTTATGACAGTATTGTTGCTGAGGTGCGATATGTACATCGTTTTATATACTGCTCCCTAAAACGATATTTTTTAAGTTTCAATTGATAAAGTAGAAAAACAGACAAAATTAAGGCATAACTGGTACAGCTAAATTTTAACATTAGAGAAAGAAAAAGATATGACTAAACTGCTCAAGGGAAAAAAATTCTCATATGCAGAGGTGATATTAACACAAAATTAATATCTATATAACAAACAAACCAAAAGCCAAAGATCTAATAAAGTGCATAAATTATTTATCGCTCTTATTGTTAGTGCAATAACTTTTATAGTAGACTTACCTGGAACTTGCATCCGCTGCCATAATGTTTTGCACTACTAACAGTAATTAAGGTAAAATTTGAAAATAATAATATATTTTTTGGGTCATAGAATTTCAATAAACAAACGTTGTAGAACCAAAAACTATTAGTTTTTAAATTTTATATTTGACAGTAAAATCTTGACAATAATCTAAAAACGTCACATCGATAATATTTAACAAAAACAGGTCAACCTAAACTTGTGAAAAACGAGGCGAATAAACTAAAAAAACTAATCTATAGATGAAAAACAGAGGTTAGGATTCCAATTACAGAATGCTTGTTATAATTTATTACCGATATATACACACACTTTATATATCGTTGACGTTCCGGCAAATATCATTAAGTCCAAATTAGTAGTTGTGAGATAAACACAATTTTAACTGAAATTTGTTATCATAATTTCGTTTGGTTAATTATATCCACTTAAGAGCCCTTTTAATGTCTAACTGATGGTTATGTTTGGGATAGTGATATTTAGAATATTAAAAATATTGTCTATCTCTATCCAAACGGGTTTGACGGACTTAGTTACGTTTGCCTAACAAAAAAAGCGAAATAATCAAAAATTAATTAACCTGAATAAGGAGACTGTATTTCATATCAAGATCTAAAAACAACAAAAATGTAAATCTTATGTTAAGCACTTAACAGGTAGCAAGCTAATCACGCCTATGAGCGTCAAGATATCGCTTCAGTCATATGCTGATGACGCACATGTCGCAGATAAAGAGTAGCACAACTCAAAATATTCCAAAATGGAGTTATTGCGATTATCGAAATCTGCGTCGAAAACTACATGAGAAAAAAAGACCCCTGTGTAAAAATCTCCATCAATAACATGTAGATGACGCTGTAAGTTAGTCTTTCTGAGTTGCTCCTAGTTGTAACTAGTTACGACAACGCCAGCTGTACACGAAGATCTGTCTATACGCACAAAGACTGGAATATTTTGACTTCTGTTTGTATTCATGATTGATTGTAGTTTTTAATGTTAAATTATTTTTAGTTACTGTGGTATTTGTGATTCAACCTGTTTTGTTTCTTAACCGTTCATCAAATTATTTCCCTTTACACGGTTGTTTTTTACAAAGGTGAGTATTTTTTTAAAAAATAACTATAAATAGTCGAGTATTGGTGAAAATATTTTACTTAGTTTGAGTTATTTGGGTATTGCTGGTTAAATTTAAATCCACTCTTATTGTAAAATAATAATACCTACTGTCTATTTTGATAAAGAAATGTTTAGATATGTTTGCATTTAACAAAATGATTTTCATCTATTATTTTTTCAATAAAATGAAATATCAATTTCGAAGCATTTTTTGAGTTAATATAGTATTCCTGAATTTTAATAAATTCGTATGTTTTTTACTCAGATTTACTCAGATTTGAGTACATGAAACTGTCTTTCGGTCCTTTTTTCCTAGATGGAAAGAAGGTAGATACATTGCCTAAGTATCTTTAATCAGTTTTCTTCTATATTCGTCGTCTCTTGTGCTTATATATTATAAAAGCCGGAGATACAGGATGCAGTCAGAAAGTAGTTTCTTATCGTATGTTTGTCTTACAGATGATGAAGGGTCGTGGCCTTATACTTCTACAAAAAGCAATGGAGGTTAAGTCAGATAATCCTGATAGTACTAATACTGGGATGAAGCTTCGAGAGAACTCGACAACACTTTTGATGAGCGCCAAGGTGACGGAAGAAATTATAGTTAATAATACCATGGAATTACAAAAGAACCCAACAAAGTTAGCATTACCATCACCTAGTGCTCAGGTAAAACCATCATACTGCATTTCACCGGTCAACAGTCACAGTAGCAATTTTGACGATTCGGATGCGGATCCGCACTTCAAGCCATCTCCTAAAACGAGAACTCGACGTCTACCTCTCATATATTCAAGAAAAAGGTCTCGTTCCTCAAGTTCCAGCTCCTCATCTAGTAATTCCAGCAGCTCATCTAGTAATTCTAGCACCTCTTCAAGCAACAGTAACACAGAAATAGGTAGTACCTCTGTGTCATCCGTTATATTGGATTCTGCCAATCTTTTAAACGAGATTCCTCCTCCTGAAACTTCCACCTCTCAACCGATCATAGATCAGTCTGCTGATTCTGAAAACCATCAAAGGGGTAGAAAGAGGACAAGAAACCCTGCTGGTTGGTCCTCGAATATTAAGAAATTGCATCGAAATACCGGAAAGGCCTATGTAAGTTCAACTAATAAAAGTGTTCCTGAAAGAGAGATCAAGCCTCCATGCAACGATAAGTGTAGATTGAAATGCAAAACAAAAATAGGAGAAATATTACGCAAAAGTTTATTCGAAAATTTTTGGCAAATGGGCGATCTTCAAAGGCAAAGAGAGTTCATTGTAAGGCACACTCAAGTTATTAAGCCTAAATACAGATACAGTAGTACCCAAACTTATAGGTCATTAAATTCTGCATTTTTCTTTGAGGTTGAAAACATTCTTATTAGAGTCTGCAAGACTTTCTTTAAAACTACTCTCAACATAAGCGATCAATGTATTAGGACAGCTCTTTCAAAACGACAAGACGGCGGTTTCATAGAAGATGACCGAAGGGGTAAACACAAACAGCACTCGACCATAGATAATGAAGTAAAAGAAAGTGTAGTCGCATTTATCAGGTCTATATCTAGAATAGAATCTCCTTACCTTCGTGCACAAACAACGAGGGAATCTATTCCAAGTGAAAAATCTCTTGCGGATTTATACCGTGATTATAAAGATCTACGCGAAAATAAACGTTTACCATGTACTTCGTCATCAACTTTTAATCGAATTTTAACACGCAGTTTAATATTTCGTTTCACATCCCAAAAAAAGATGCCTGCGATCAGTGTGAAAAATACAAAAATTCTACAGAAGAAGAAAAACAAAAATTGCGTGAAGCTTATGACCAACATTTGAAAGAGAAAGTGCTGTCCAGATCAGAAAAAGAAGCAGATAAGAAAAGGACAGATGCCGTAGTTGCAGTTTACGATCTTCAAGCCGTAATGCAGGTGCCTAAAGGGCAAGTATCCTTGTTTTTTTATAAATCAAGAATTAATTGCCTAAATTTTACGATTAGTGATTTGTTTGCACAAGATGTAAGATGCTTTTTTTGGGACGAGATTGAAGGTAAACGCGGTGCTGTGGAAATTGGATCCTGTGTACTGCAATATCTGCAAACGGCAGCCATAAAAAATGTAACAGGTACTGAACTCAATATTATATTTTACAGTGACAACTGTTGTGGCCAACAAAAAAATAAATATCTGCTCACTGTCTACGCCTTTGCTGTTGCGACTATGGGAATAAACTCAATTACTCATAAATATTTGATCCGTGGACATTCACAAAACGAAGGTGATAATGTGCACAGTGTTGTCGAAAAACAAATCAAAAGATATACTAAATCAGGTGCCATATACTGTCCACAACAATACGCTACTTTAATAAGAACAGCTAAAAAAACTGGAAAACCATATTATGTGGAAGAACTTACACTTATGACAAGTTCTATGATCTAAAAGCTCTTCAAGAAGAATGGGGAAACAATTTCACTGTTAATGTTAATAGAGAACAAGTAAAATAGCATGATATTAAACAATTGCGTGTTGAAAAGCAGCAACCAATGACATTTTTTTTATAAAACTTCTTATGAAGGGACTGTTTTTAAAAAAGTATTTGTAAGAAATCAAAGGCGAACAGAAGTTCACAAATTTTCTCCTTTGAAACAAGCTTATTTACAAAAAATACCATTGGGTGACAATAAGAAACGGGACATTATGGAATTAATTGATAAGAAAATTATTCCACAGAATTACGTTGATTCTTATTACAAAAGTATAGAATAACTTTAAATCGTATAAATGTACAATTGATGATTCCTTTTATTTTTAGACATTTTTAAACTAGTGCTGTGTTTTAACCTTTTATAAGTTTAATAGAATAGAATAATGTGATTTCTTTTATACTTTCAGAAATGTTTTATAAACCTTTTTTAAGTTTAAGAGAGCATGATTCCTTTTATTTTTAGAGACATTTTTAAACTAGTGCTGTATTTTAGATTATTTTTAATTGTGTGTTACCTAAGTCCTAAATAAAGATATTAAGTTTTACTAAAAAATTGTTTTAATTCATTAATTATAAAATATACAAAAGTTAGACACACCACTCTTTCTGTGAATATTGTAAAAAAATATGTAGATTAAGAGTGCAATAACTCAAAATATTTCAGTAAAATTCAACCAATTTGAGTTAATAGATTAGCAAAGAATGATTTAGCCACGAACACTAACATAACACAAAAAATATTAATTAACAAGTGATGCTAGTATTGAAGGAAGTAATTATGTAAATAAATATCTTAGTAAAATAATTTATGCAATACTATGCAACAATATTTTGAACAACAACTAGAAATCGAATTACACGTTTTTTGTCATTCCTGAGAAAAGAGATATTTTGAGTTGTACTACTCTTCATCTAGATGTGCGATGTGAGTTTTCAAGATACCTATGTTTTGTATTGTCTAGCATAAATACCCTTGTGTATAAAAGTTTACTTTTTGGAAAAGTTTGTAAAGAAAACTATCTGTTAACCTATTTATCAAGCAGGTCTCAAAAACATTTTCTACCTTTCCTTCTACTACCAATAGTTCCATAGTTCCCGTTCTTATGGCTAAAGTAATTTAGGTATTCTCGGTTTACTTTTTTTATTAACCTGTGGTTTATATGAAGCTGTTCCAGAAGTGACAGGTTGGTCCTGTGTTTCGTCCAGAATACTTCCTCCACAAAAGCGCAGACCGGCCACGGCATTTTCATATACATAATGGCAAATACTCTGTCTATGTCCTTTATTATTTCTTTTTCTCCTTTTAGAATGTTTCCATTACCTTCTTCAATTTTACTTATATATTTCTTTTTCTCATTTTAGAATGTTTCCATTACCTTCTTCAATTTCACTTGTGTTTCGGTAATTTCTTCTCAGGTGCCGTATTGAATCAAATTAGTTTCGATTTACTTCGTAAATTGGGGTTAAAAAATAATATTGTTTCTGGTAAAATTATTAAAAAAAAGCAGTAGAAAATTCAAGTAAACTAAGCATTGATATGAAGGCTTCTAGTTCTTCTAGG